CACCACACAATAACCAAGCACCACCTCAAATCAGATTTTTTTTGTTAATCATTCTAAATGCTCAATGTAGTATTATTTTATGCTTTTATGTATTAATTTATTTTAAAATGTGAGTTTTAGCGATTATGATTGGGAAGTCCCAAATTTAGCGAAAGTCGTGGCTAGTAGAAAGAAGTGCAGTCTAAAAGTTCCTAATCCAACCACCTTATGATGACATGTTACAAACATGACATAGATGTTAAATGTGTCATTAACAAACTAAACCCAACAAAATATTATAGGTTTAAATCATTATAGTCTATTGAATTATTGTATTCAGTATTATAGTGAGTTAAATTAATTCCAAAATTAAACAATTCATCAACCCAAACATGACCATCTTTAAAAGAGCACGGAAGATGTGTTTCATATCCAAACTGTCATTCTGCTACTTGTTTAACATGGAAAATATGTATTCTTTATTTATTTACTATTATTATTATGACCTGGTAGTACTCAATGAAATTGAATAGTCCAAAAAAGCTCAAAATAGACCAAATTCTCTGAAACAGTGCCTAGCATTATCTCCTGAGCCCAGGCAGTACGCATCAGGATCATCATATTAGTATCGGACAAATTTTCAAAACCATCTCTTTTTAAAATTTATTTATAAAAAACGACTTATTTCAATCTTAATTTTAAAAACAGACCCAGTTGGTTAAAACTGGATCGGTTTTTAAAAAAAAAAAATTTAAACTTCACGGGAGTTGAACTCCCGTGAAGTTTTGTTATGAGAAAAAACTTCACGGGAGTTCAACTCCCGTGAAGTTTGAATTTTTTTTTTCAAAAACAGACCCAGTTTCATCCAATTGGGTCTGTTTTTGTAATTAAAGTTGAAAAGGGTCTTTTTTGGGAATAAATTTTAAAACAGGATGGTTTTGAAAATTTGTCCTATTAGTATCTTATCCAAGTCTATCACTTGACTGTCCCATAGAAGTCCATACACTACATGTAAATTTCCGTAAGAGCCTTACGCCCATTGAAGAGTTCTAACGTGCAATGTGTCAACACTATTTATTTCTAACACACCTTACCCTTCAAAAGAAAAAAGGGGGAAAAAAGGCAGACCCAAGAGGGTCCAACCGATTTGATAAGTTGTCTATGAGTCAAGTAAGGCTTTAAAATCTCATATTCCAAGAGGATCTAACCAATTTGGTAAGTTGCCTATGAATCGAATAGTACTCTAAAATCTCATATTCGACTCTACTGAAGATCACCTACAAAAATTTAATTTCCTAGAATACTCAAGATCGCGCATTGAACAGTACCCCCTAATAATATGCATTGAGGGGTGTTATGGTGTTCTCATTCGCCAAAAAGCAACTCATTGCCCAGCAACGGACATGTGTACTTATGCATGTAACGCCTCAATCAAGTTGGCGGCCAAAGACCAGCAGAAACGACAACTCAGCCGACTTGTCGAGTCGACATTCCCCATGTCGACTCGAAAGGCGGTACTTGTCGCCCTCTTTCGTCGAAGACGACTGGCCACGAGCCCATTCGACCATTTGCTGGACGTCTCGCGAAGACGACTCGAAAGGCTACTTCTCGGCGAAGTTAAAGGACAGCTTCTGTCTCGAGCCTCTCTCACTAGCAACGTGTCTGCACCACATTTAATGCATGAGAAACACATCATGCCTCTAGCCCTGATAGCCTTCATGACTCATCGGACCACGCAGACACCGCCATGTCACCAATCACTTCCTAGTTAGTACTGAGCTGATCGTTCATCCAGTCGCCAACCGACACCTGTAAAGTAAGTGCTGACTCATCCGCCAGCCCACACTTCGCCACCGCCATCCTATGCTCGACCAAAGTGACAGATCTACCCTTATACCTAGGTATAAATAGAGGTAATATTCTATCTTGATCAAAAAAATGAATAAATAAATATGAGATTCGCAAATCTAATCCTTAAGCAGTCATACTGTACGCACAAGAGCGTACACAATTCTTTATCTTTCCCCACGCAAGTTCATCAGCTAACTTGATCGTTGGAGGAACCACGGGGGAATTAGACCCCGTCCTCACACGAGTTTCTATTTGTGCAGATTCATCAACCCCACTCAAAGAACCAGACATAAAGTTAGGGAAGAAAACGACCGTCATCAATACTCAACACCACCATCCAACCGCGGATACAACTGACTGTGTGATCACTAGTACACAAGGTTATTGATAGCGGATAGTGTCGCGTAGCGGTGAGGCATCACTAAGGCTATTTCGAGCTATTGCGGTAAAATAGCGGTAAAAAGCACAAAGTCAAATAACGGTCTAATTTAGATATGTATAAATACTAAAAAAGAAAAATTAAAGAAAAATCTAAAAAATCTAAAAGTACATATTGGATGATTTAAAGAGATCCTAAACATGAAATAGACATGTAATCATCACGTAATATTGAAGTTAACTGGAGGAGTCATCAAAAAGTCGTCGTCTTCGAGAAGAAAAGCTTAGCGGTGACAGAATTGTCCTAAGAGGAGCTCACGGTGAAGGAGATGAGAGGAAATATCAAGGTAGGTACCAGAGGCTATGAGAGGTGGCTGGAGTATGCTGAAAATCACAGGAGATAGTGGAATGTAATGGTCAATGGTTGAGTTTAATTTTAAAAAAATAAGCCTCAAACCGCTTTTAAATAGCAGTCAAAAGGTAAATTTCGAATGCAATCGCTCACTATTTACCGCTATGACACACTATTGGCCGCTTTTGCGAATAGACATATTTCACAATATGTCACCGCTATTGCGCGATAGCGTAGCGGGACGATAGCGTCGCGAGAAGGGACCACTAACGCTATTAGCGTCGCTATTGCGAGGCTATTTATCGCTATTTATAACAGTGCTAATACATCAACAAGGGATGCACCCTAGCGATGTGCATTGAGGGGTGCCCTCTAACCATGCCCGGGGGCTTAATATCCATCATTCGAAGGATTGCTTAAAAAAAGAATGCAAAGCAGCAACTACAAGCTACGTTTATCACAGGCTTATCATCTCCCCATTCAGCTATTTCGTCCCAAATCAATTCTCCTAAAATGAAACTCATACTGAAAATGAAAAACACAAGGTTAATTTCCTCTCCGCATATCACCAAGCGCAATCTCTATCAAGAAAATCCTTACATTCTTCAACAGTCTTTACACACAGTACCTCACCGTCTTGAAACGAAGATTGACACTTACCAGGCACTGAAAGATCAATTTATTTCCCAAAGAAGAAATGATCAACATTATGCGAACAACAAAGAAACTAAAAAGGGCAGAGCCTAAAAGTATCTAAGAAACACCAATAAACAAACAGATCCTAAAACCGAAAAGCGCAGCAATATCAAATCCAACACACAGAATCTCCAATAAAAGTTCTAATCAAGTCCTAAAATAACCATTCACGCAGGGAAGTCTCTTTAACACACTTAAAAGTCTTAATCAAGTAGCAAGTTTTTTTTTTTGCTGTTTGATGTATAAACTCAAGAGATGATGCCATCATTCAGAGAGAGGGAGGCCAGCTGGTCAGTCGCGGTGCCAGCCTGCTGCTGCTGAGCAACGGTTCGAAGAACATCCATGGCCTCGGCCACTTTGGCTTTGAGAGCCTCAGGGGATTCGAGCAGATGAAGAACCTCAGTCTGGTCCATCTCCAGAAGCATACCCGTCACTTTCGCTGCTGATTCATGCTCCAGCTGATCCACAAGTGGATACAGACTCTCCCCTAGCATCTGCAAGAGATTCGCGAGCTCAAATTAGTTCCAGCAAAAAATAAGTTGAAGAAACACTTCAAATCATTTCCTGCAAAGTGCAAATATTAACATATATTATTTACTGCCTTTGTGGTTATTACCAACACACAAGGTTATTGATAGCGGATAGTGTCGCGTAGCGGTGAGGCATCACTAAGGCTATTTCGAGCTATTGCGGTAAAATAGCGGTAAAAAGCACAAAGTCAAATAACGGTCTAATTTAGATATGTATAAATACTAAAAAAGAAAAATTAAAGAAAAATCTAAAAAATCTAAAAGTACATATTGGATGATTTAAAGAGATCCTAAACATGAAATAGACATGTAATCATCACGTAATATTGAAGTTAACTGGAGGAGTCATCAAAAAGTCGTCGTCTTCGAGAAGAAAAGCTTAGCGGTGACAGAATTGTCCTAAGAGGAGCTCACGGTGAAGGAGATGAGAGGAAATATCAAGGTAGGTACCAGAGGCTATGAGAGGTGGCTGGAGTATGCTGAAAATCACAGGAGATAGTGGAATGTAATGGTCAATGGTTGAGTTTAATTTTAAAAAAATAAGCCTCAAACCGCTTTTAAATAGCAGTCAAAAGGTAAATTTCGAATGCAATCGCTCACTATTTACCGCTATGACACACTATTGGCCGCTTTTGCGAATAGACATATTTCACAATATGTCACCGCTATTGCGCGATAGCGTAGCGGGACGATAGCGTCGCGAGAAGGGACCACTAACGCTATTAGCGTCGCTATTGCGAGGCTATTTATCGCTATTTATAACAGTGCTAATACATCAACAAGGGATGCACCCTAGCGATGTGCATTGAGGGGTGCCCTCTAACCATGCCCGGGGGCTTAATATCCATCATTCGAAGGATTGCTTAAAAAAAGAATGCAAAGCAGCAACTACAAGCTACGTTTATCACAGGCTTATCATCTCCCCATTCAGCTATTTCGTCCCAAATCAATTCTCCTAAAATGAAACTCATACTGAAAATGAAAAACACAAGGTTAATTTCCTCTCCGCATATCACCAAGCGCAATCTCTATCAAGAAAATCCTTACATTCTTCAACAGTCTTTACACACAGTACCTCACCGTCTTGAAACGAAGATTGACACTTACCAGGCACTGAAAGATCAATTTATTTCCCAAAGAAGAAATGATCAACATTATGCGAACAACAAAGAAACTAAAAAGGGCAGAGCCTAAAAGTATCTAAGAAACACCAATAAACAAACAGATCCTAAAACCGAAAAGCGCAGCAATATCAAATCCAACACACAGAATCTCCAATAAAAGTTCTAATCAAGTCCTAAAATAACCATTCACGCAGGGAAGTCTCTTTAACACACTTAAAAGTCTTAATCAAGTAGCAAGTTTTTTTTTTTGCTGTTTGATGTATAAACTCAAGAGATGATGCCATCATTCAGAGAGAGGGAGGCCAGCTGGTCAGTCGCGGTGCCAGCCTGCTGCTGCTGAGCAACGGTTCGAAGAACATCCATGGCCTCGGCCACTTTGGCTTTGAGAGCCTCAGGGGATTCGAGCAGATGAAGAACCTCAGTCTGGTCCATCTCCAGAAGCATACCCGTCACTTTCGCTGCTGATTCATGCTCCAGCTGATCCACAAGTGGATACAGACTCTCCCCTAGCATCTGCAAGAGATTCGCGAGCTCAAATTAGTTCCAGCAAAAAATAAGTTGAAGAAACACTTCAAATCATTTCCTGCAAAGTGCAAATATTAACATATATTATTTACTGCCTTTGTGGTTATTACCAACACTCTGGATTAGGGATTAGGGAATAACAATTGACTTAGTAACTAATATATTTCATGCATATATTACTGCAATATGGTGCCCTATTAACAGGAGATGAATCAACCACCAGATATATTATACGGTTAGTTGCGAATAGACACCCTGTAGTATAACCCAATTGCGAATTTACCCCCATAGTTCTATTTGTGACGAATAGACCCCCTACAGTATTGGCCCAAGTGCGAGTACACCTTGCTAGTGAACTTTTTTGACACTTAAAAAAAAGCAATTGGTGGTCTATCTAGGGGTGGAAATAAACCAAATAATTAATAAACAGTTCAGTAATTATTCGTCCAGATATTCGTCCAGATATTCGGTCATTATTCGTTTTGGTAGTTCATTTAATAGTAAATGAATATTTTTTAGTATTTGGTGCATAAACAAATAGAATTTGACCCGAGGTATATTCGATTTATTTGATTATTAAATATTCGTTTATGTTTTTTTTTATACTTCTAGCTTATTACATTGTATTATCTTTTACGTGCGCATAATTTTATAAATATTGCTATTTATACGTATTCTATTAGTAACTTATAAACGTACATAATAATTCTTATATTGAAATATCATAATAAGAATTAAGTGAAACGTAATAGAAATTAAATAAGAAAAGACTTCAAACATAGGGTTTGAAGTCAACACCTCATGGTTGAGGATCTTGTGACCTAACAAGTGTGCTATTGAGATATTGTCTAATTAACGAACCAAATTTGAGTATCCTTTCCCCTATTTGATAAGAAGTTGAATTCGACTTCGAATTCGTGAAAATTAACTGAATACGAATATGAATACCATGGTATTCGATTCGATTCGGTTCGTTTCCTCCCTAGATTCTAATAAATAGAACTATAGGGATCTATCCGCCGCCTCCTTAAACATTTTCAATTGTTTTGACTTTTAACAGTTAAAAAAATTCAACCAGGGTGTCTATTACCAAAATAGCACAACAGGGGGTCTATTTGCAATTGGATGATACTATAGGGGGTCTATTTGCAATTAACCCTATACCGTCGACTGCCGCAAATCAAGTATTATACGCCGCATTATATGTCTATCTCGTGGGGTGGAGACATGTGGAGGATGAAACTGGAAATCTGATTCCAGCTCCACATGCTTAGGTTGGGGCCACATATTAAGATACGTCATATATGTTTATGCAAGGGGGTTGGTTTCCACTCAGTTCTAACCATGATTAACACCTGAAATAAAATTCCATCTCCAAAGCTTGATTACCACCCTGAACAACTCAAAAACTTTGTCCCAGGAGAAACATTCAGAAATGCAGGGTTAATCTTTCTAATAAAGAATATAGCATCCTGAACAGAAGTTCATAATATGCTTGTTTTGATTATAGTGCTACTTACCATGTATACAGATCCATCAATGAACCGATTCAATATTTGTAATACTAAACTCTAATTGCATAAAATTCTTAACCACAAAAAGCTTAATTTCAGTTTACTCCTTATCCTTATGTGCCCAAAAACAAAGCCAACACCTTCATTACTGTCACCAAGGATCTTCTAGTTTTATGCCAAATTGAGATCACTTGTGCAACACAGCATGTTACTAAAAGAGTCATATTCGGACGTGAACATCTATGAGAGGCATATGTGAACAATGAAACTGTAAAACCACTCATCTCTTTGGTGAGAAACTCTGGATGCAAAAGTTATACTATGAAATATTTTACCCCGTCCCAAACTAACTTTGTCCATCTGACCCAAAGACAAACTCAAAACCATTAACATTATCAGCAGTCTTTTCTCTTTTGCATGATGGTGAAATCATTGACAAATACAATATCATACTAAAAATGTCCTATATGAACTTCGACTTTTGTGAGAGCAAATGTGAGAATGAAACTATAAAAGCACCCCTTTTATTATTTGACAAATTTGGTTACAAACTTATCCATCTAAAATCCAAAAACTACTTATAATAAGAAATCCCTTTCCAAAATAACTTATCTATGTAACCTGAAAATAAACTCAAAACCGTCAACATTATCAGCAAAGATATTGCTTAAAATGCCCTATTCGAACTTCTGACTTTTGTGAGAGCATTTGTGAGAACAAAACTATAAAAGCACCCCTTTTATTATTTGACGACTTCTGGTTACAAAAGTCATACTATGAAATACTACCTATCCCAAACTAGCCCCATCAAATCTAACATGACCCACACGCGATTGGAACAGGCCAAACATATGTTGGCTGGACCAGTTGGTAACTACTTTACTTATAATTCCAGACAGCCCCAGGACATATGTGCTGTAATATAATATAGCATAGCAAATTATCTATCAAAGAGACTAAGGCACACATAAGGTTCAAACGGGTTGACCCAGAATTCAGCCTGAACCAAACAAAAATGATGCTGCTAATGCATTCTTAAGCATATTACGCACAAATACTTATAATCTTCAACCCAAACATATATGAAATCAATATAAAATAAAACATACCGTCCTTTGCTGCTCAGGAGATGCATTGGCCAGAGCTGAAGCCAATGTCCCAATAGGGATGGGCTGCGCATCTCTCAGAGGCATAGCACCCATATCATAAGGGACAGAGAGCATTCCTCCAGCAACACCAGACATCTGAACATCAGGCATGTTGCGTCCTGTAGGGTAACGATACATACGACCGCCCCGAGGAAGCATCTGCAGCATAAACAATTTTAGCAAACAGTGCATGTAGGACAAAAGAATTCAGCAATAGTTGTAAACAAAACGTTGGCCCATAAAGTTTAGGGGGGTGGGGTTGCATGTACTTTGAAGGGAAAGCTTCGAAAGGACACCAGAATTAACTTTCCCAACTTTCCTATATTTCATTGCATCCTTAAAGGCCCATGAAAATGATGAGGTGGCACTCAAAACTATTCAAATCAAAATCCCTTCAAGTGAGAGGATTTTGGTGGAACGTGAAAATTTTGCCATGGATCCAATGGATTCCAAACCAAACAAAGGAAATGCTCCATTGGGAAGTGATTATATGAATGCGCACTTTCCATATAGAGTCATAAATCCTCAATTTTCAGAAAAACACCCAAACAAGCCCTTAGAGTTCCACTGATGGTCCTTACCTGCTGTGGAAGCATTGGCCCTGGGTGCTGTGCCTGTTGAACAGGTCCTCCACCGCCACGCCTTCCTCCAGGACGTTGGGGTTGCTGCCCCTGCTGCATCATCGGCACAAAGAAATTGGGCATAGGGGCACCACCAGGCCTCATTCCAGGAACAAGATGCTGCTGGTAACCAAATCCAGGCTACAAAAATAACAAGAACAATAAAGTAATAAACAAAACTTAGCAAGTCAATCATTAGCTTTTGCAGAAAAATAAGGAAAACCTAGCAGGTAAATACCACTGATATGACTTTTGGCCAGAAGGTTTTTTTATGTTCGTCAGTGGACAATGAGAGTTAAAATAGTATTCTATTCAGTTTGAATCAAACAAAGTTAATGACAACGTATCTACTGTTTACTTCAAGCAGGTACCGCTTAACACCAGAAAAAATAAAAGAGGAATTGACTATGAAAAGAAAATTACCTGCGGAGGAATCAGTGCTGGAGGAGCTTGGCCATAATATAGTTGTTGTCCAAGTCCAGGAGCACCAGGAGCATACATTGGCATGCGAGGAGCAACATTAGGTGGCATGGAAACTGGACGCATTTGGGAAAATTGTGCCTGAATAAAAAAGTTTCAAGTTTAGATATGTTCAAGCAAAGTTCTAACAGTATACAAGGATAGCAAAAAAAAAAGAATAATGCAGGAAATAGAAACTTGCGCCTCGTTTGGTATGCGGGAATCTGGATTAAGTGAGAATGGAGAATGAACCAAGGAATGAAATGGAATGGGTGGGAGAATGGAATGCTTATTTCCATTCTCGTGTTTGGGTGCGATAAGATAATGAAGTGAGAATGAAAAATCATTTTATTTTGGTATGAGTAATTAATAAGAAATCATGGCATATTTGGTATTTAATTTAATTTTTTTTCATTCCTATTTAAGTGGGAATGTCCATTCCCTACTAACTCATTGGGATTGCCCATTCCCACAAAAACTGGGAATGAAGGAGAAGTGAGAATGAGGCAATGAGCATTCTAGCTTCAGAAAAGGTGTCGTGTTTGTTTGGTATGCATGAAAGAGAAGTGAGAATGAGCATTCCATTCCCACTCATTCCCTTGTACCAAACAAGGCCTTGAGGCATTCACTTGCAGATAATCTTGCAATATACAAGAAAATGGATGTAATGCTTAAGAGGAAAGACATTGGCCTTAAAATGATAGATAGCAAAGCAAAAAATACACATGTAAGAAAAGGGTGATTAGGAAACCCAATACAGAACATTTTTTATATACTTAAATTAAATAGAAAATATATAGGAAAAAGATGGAACTAACAACTAAACATGTTTACAATACATATGAGACTTAATAACCAAAGATGTACTCTTGTATAGCAGACATTCTCATGTATAACCCTCACAAGGTAAGAAAAGGAAGTTTAGGCAGAGAGAAAGCAAATTTACATTATAATTGCTAAAATTAATATAGAGAGATTCACTTACACCCTGTTTGAATGGCGTTGAATAGACGAGTAGAAGGGAAGAAAAAATGCTCACCCCATCTGGGAGTTTTTTTAAAGGGAATGGAGGGGAAGCGCTAGGCTGACAAAATGATCTGCGGGGCCCCCCCCCCCTCCTCGCCCTCCCCAAACTAGGTAATGGAGCGCGAAAATTTTTGAAACCATCAATGAAATGAATCCAATGGCTAATAAATAGATTCCCCTGTATTCGCTTACTAACTATCCTTCTTTATTCATTCCCAGTCGTTCTTACTACACACATGCTCATTTCTTCTTTTCTTTATTCTCCTTTTATCACCATTTTAACCTCCTCCTCATCATAAGAGATATAAACTGCTCAAAAACACGGAAATCAAACACTAAGATATATTAGAAAGTGAAAAAAGTTGTAGTCAACAAAATCTCGATTACATCAGTTAACATAAACTCCTCCTATATGCAGTGTATGTCGGACTTACTATTATTAGTCCTCATACGCCAGGCACACGAGCTGAATCAACATAAAAAAATTGTTGGTGTGTCAGGGTATAAGAATGTCCTTGAAATTCTAATTAGATCCCTCAGAAACACTCCTCACCGGCGCAAGACTATAAATATAACTAGTATACGAGTGAATCCGACTAACCCCAATATTCGTTTATCTTTATTTTGTTTCTTTTTTCAACTATTTCTTTTTCTCAAAATCAATCTCAAAATCAATCTCACTAGTTCAATTCCATACTCAAATCATCTTTATTTTTTCATCAATTTACCTCCTACCCTTTATTAGCAGCAAAGGGACGAAAACAAAAAGGCAAATTATCATCCTAATAGGCTATAGTTTCCCCTTGTTTGCACTTATATACCCTCACAAGTTTAGGCAACACTAAAACACTTAAATATCATAAAGTTTCCAAGAGTTGTACTTTAATACCTTCTGTTATGCAAATGTAAGAATTTCTCCCTGATTTTTCCAAGTGTCACTCATAATTTAATGTTAAAAATACCCCAATTCTCTTATAAACCTGTTCTAATCATATTTTGAAATTAAAACATGGTGAGATTAACAATAAATTCAAAAAACACCAAGGGAAAATGTTAGAAAATTAGCTTGTAAGTGTCGCAAGAGAAATTTTGGGGGAAACTTCTCATGTTTACATAATATAGTACTAAAGTTATACTTTAGAAACTTTGGGGGTACATTAGTGACCTCAAAAACAAGTGAGGGTATAAAAGGAAACTATAGGGTATTTAATGGTGAGTTTGGACAGGTTTTTTAGGAGGTGAGGGGAAGGGGTAGGTTTATAATGTAAACCCTCCAAAAAATGAGTTTGTTCACAATTATTAATTAGTAAGGGGTAGGGAGGGAAGAGTTAAAAATAGGTAAATTTCATCACTTTCTAAATCCCCAAAAGTAGACAAACTGGGAGGGGAGGGATAGAAACTTAAGCAAAACTTATCTAATATTCCACTGCCCTTAGAGAAAATAAAGAAATTAGATATGAATTAATTCTTCAAGGGACATATTGATCACATAAGTATCTGATGATGGATAGATTCCGATTTGAATCTTAAAAAAAAAGACTACATGAAATTTGATCAGATTTAGTTTAATTAGGATTTTATGGTTTTATTTGATTTTATCATTTCCTTAGGTTAGGATTAATTTGATGTTATCTTCTTTTAGTTAGGATGTTATTTGATGTTATTTCCTCTTTAGTTAGGATTTTATTTATCTTCTTAGTTTTTCTATAAATAAGATTGTATTTTTTTTTTCATTTGAGAAGAGAAGAATTGTTTGTAAGAAATCTGCACATGAATTACAGCAAGTATTAGGCATGTGAGGTGCCCGAATGTGAGATCTGCATTTGTTTTTTCTTAAATAAAAAGTGCAATTTTAATATTTATTTTTTATTTTATTTTATCCAGATAATCATTCTCAGCAAAAGCAAATCACTATGCTTCTGTTCCTCATTAAGTGGTATTAGAGCCGAAAAAAATCCACCTTCGTAGCTTCAAATTTGGCGATGCAGCAATTCAAAGTCCATCAATGCTATGCAATTTTGAGCTCGAAGACAAGTTTCTTCAAGAGGTGGAGGTTTGATGTAGAACATTTTAGATTTGAATCTAAAAAAAAGATTTCATGAAGATTGATCAAATTTAGTTTAATTAGGATTTTATGATTTTATTTGATTTTGCCCTTTCCTTTGGCTAGGATCTTATCTAATGTTATCTTCTATTAGTTAGGATGTTATTTGATGTTCTCTCTTCTTTAGTTACGATTTTATTTATCTTCTTAGTTTTTCTATAAATAAAATTGAATTTTTCATTTGAGGAGGGGGAGAGAAGAATGTTTGTGAAAAACTTGCATGTGCATTGTAGCTAGTAAAGGCATGTGAGGTGCTGGCATATGAGATGTATAGGTGTGAGACCCGCATTTGTATCTTTTTTATTCTTAAACGAAGAGTGCAATTTCAATATTTGTTTTTATTTAAATGAAGAGTGCAATTTCAATATTTGTTTTTATTTTATTTAATCCAGATAATCATTCTCGTCAAATCACAATGCTTTCATTCCTCATTAGTATCCCTTCCCTTTTCATTCTCCATAAATTATAACATACTCTCTCTTCCCCTTTTTGCTTATCCAAACACAATTAATGTCATTCCATTCCATCCGCTCCCTCTCTATTACTTCCCCCTGGATTTACTTCAATCATTTTCCTCCCCTACCCCTTTCTGTATCCAAACCAACTATAAGTGCTAATTAGCCAAAAAATCCTGACGCCCTTTTCCAAAGCAACAGCCACCATTACCCCAAGTACGCCTATTTGTTTTTTGTACTCCATTGACATTTACAAAAAGACAAAATATATACCCAACTTTAATTACTTTAGTTCCCAAAATCGTCACTGTACACCTCTTTCCCCTCTATCCTTTTGTTTTCTTTTCTTTCGAACCCAACAGACTTTGGTGAAAAAAATTCAATATGGAGCTTTTCCCTTCAGGGTTAGTGGGGGCAGATGATCCCACTATCCTCCCGTCCATATGTACAGTATTATAAAGTAATTTGCAAGTTTCAAGAGCCAAGTGCAATTACTAATATTAGTGACCACAATTTCTAGGGGTTTCCATATCTGCTTCATCTCAAGTGACTTCCTTTCACATTCATTTCATTTCACGCCAAGCACGCCATGTTCTCTATACGACAGTAAATATTTTAAACAAATCTTCCAAAGGTAATTAAATTGGCACAAGCTTAAATGCAGAGATATTTTTTCAACGCCTATTCAAAGCTCGGCCAATCTGAAGTTAGAACATGTATTCATGCACTTTCCAAAATATGTGATATAGACCAAGAAGAACAAATATGATTTATTCATGCACTTTCCCAAAATATGTGGTATAGACCAAGAAGAACAAATATGATTTATTCATGCGCTTTCCAAATTTGTGATATAGACCAAGAAGAACAAATATGATTGGTAGAATAATTGAGAAAGTATTGGAAGAGACAGGTAAAATAACTAAATTGAATCTTGGAAGATGTGTCAGGTACCATGAAATAAATAACAGATGCTTTGATATACTTAATTCAAGAGAGAACCAGATTATATTTGAACTAAAAACATTGAGTGAGAAACGTAATCCAGAATGCCATTATATAACAAGATTTATGAAAAATATTGTTTCATTTTTGGGTTCAGTTCCCTGATGAAAAGTTTGTTTTTGTTGCTTCTGCCTCGTTTATTTAGTTTCAACAACTAAAAGTCTCTTGCGTAAGATAGGATCCATATACACGACAAATAAGAAGTCTTATCATATATATACACCTCATGTGCTTTCTTGTAAGACGTGGACACATAAACAATGAAAACAAAGGGATTAGCTGGAGTTCAGTTTGATAAATATGACTAATGTCATCTATTGAAATCTGGTCAAAATTCCTCTTCTTAGGAGATCTGAGCACAGGCTATCCATGAAAAAGCGGAACTTTTTATAAACTTGCACCTAGAACAACCTTAATATACCTAACATGCCCTATATGCTAGGTAGCACGGACATGGACATAAACACAGATATGGATACAGACACAAGATATGACAAATTTATAAAATGTACGATACAGGGACAAGGCAAATTTGTAAAATGTAGGATATTTAAATTTTACATTAGATCAAATATTGAATTAAAATACCTATAACGTTTGTATATTTCTCTCTTATCTATAAGAATTAAGTTAAATGAAACTAGGTTTCACAACAAAAGTTCAGTTTAGTCACATGTGATAATATGATGGGTATTTTTCAAATATTTAGATAATGGGTTTTAGTTTTCGGGTCCAAAAACCAATTGATTTTTGAACCCAATATTACCAAAGAAACTAGTAGGAAAATTGGGTTTCGCTTTGAACCATGCATGTCCATGGCGTATCCGCAGAGTATCCATGTCTGACATGTGTCTGACATGGAAACGGCATACAAAACACCATGTCTGAGTAACCCAGCCCATGTGAAAAGAGTAGTAACAAAAGAACAAAAAGTTTAGCAAGCTAACGTGGTACATTGATTATGTGTTTCAATATAAAAACTTGCTTCACATTATAGAAAGAATTTATCTATCAAAAAAATAAAAGGCACATGCCTGTAATCTTGCTCTTCTGTCTTCTTTACGCTGTGCAATTGCTACATACAGAGGTTTGCTGCCGATCATTTTCCCATTCATCTCCGCTAGCTACAGACAAAGAAAATGAATGATGAAGAAAAATCATGATAATTTATTCATAGAAACATCAGCAAAAAGTGAACGGCAACTAACAGCACGAGACGCATCTTCAGGATTTGAGAAGGCAACAAATCCCGACCCTCTACTGATACCATTGGGATCTCGCATAACCTGCAAAAGTAATGAGTTTTAAGCCTTGTGAACCAAACAGCAATGAATAAACGAAAGGAGAGGCACAGCAGCTAGGTCTAGGTGTATGTGTATCACCTTGCAAGATGTGATTGTCCCGAACTCAGAGAACAATTCCCTAAGTTTCTCATCCCCAATACTATCGTCCAAGTTCTTCAAGTACAAGTTAACACCTTGAAACTTGTCAGCAGCCTCCTTAACACCCTGCTCAAATCGGCCTTTTAGTTCTCTCTCCCTTTCAGATTTCTTCTGCGCTTTACCAACATACCATTCCTTGTCACCAAATTTCTTCCCATTAAGTTCCTCAACAGCTCGAGCAGCATCCTCTGGGTTTTCAAAATTAACAAACCCAAAGCATTTGGATTTCCCATCACCCTCTGTCATCACAACAGAACTAGTAATCGTTCCATATTCACCAAAAATTTGATCAAGCTCTTCTTTGGTTGTAGATTCTGACAGATTTTTAACAAATACATTACGAAAAACTGTTTTATCCGGAGTATTTTCCCGTTCCTGCTTCCGAAGAAAGGGACCAACATAGACCACTTTCTCATTCAGACACATGCCATTTAGCTTCTCGATAGCATTTTGCGCTGCCTCCTCTTGCTCAAATTGAACAAACCCATAGCCTTTCGACTGGCCAGATGGCTCAGTGGCAACTTTGCAAGAAAGAATGTTGCCAAAAACAGAAAATGTATCATACAGGGCTTTGTGGTCTATTGACTTGTCCAGGTTCTGCCAAATTTGAGAGGCACCGTTAATCATGATGTATGGGGGAGACTTAAAACGAGAAAAGTAGATAAAACCAGATCCAAAACAAGAAAACCAAATTAAAGACCAACAAAGAAGAGTATCATACTTTAATAAATATGTTAGCTGCCCCACTCTTTCGTGTGCTAGGGTCACGGTTTGAATACATTATTCTGATAGGTTTACCGTTGAGGGGAGTAAAGTTCAGCATATCCAATGCCCTCGCCGCTGTCAATTACGTTCCAAATAGAGTGAGATGCAAAACAAATGAGATGCAAAACAAATAAATATCAACTGCAAAAGGTGTCAATGCAACACAAGGTATTATTTGTATGCCTAACTGAGAAACATTCTTTATTACATAATTATGTTTCCACAACACAAACATACAGTGGGTCAATAAGTCTGAACATTAAGGCCGTCAAAATAAGAGCCGAAAAGAGATTTACGCCCCCTTAATCTACCCGGAATAATAGTAAGGTCTCAAAGCATTATATATTAAGGTACCAAATGAATAGTTTCTTCAGTTTATCTTCTGATGCCCCAAGAGCTCCTTCATGCATAAATCAATGCCTAGCAATAAATTCTTTGAACTGCACAGCTCTACACCTTTTTTCAGGATAACATACAGTGGGTCAAAAGTCATACTAAGGTGTCAAAATAAGAGCACCGAAAAGAGAGTTATGTTCCCTTATTCTATCAAGAACAATAGCAAGATCTCAAAACATTATCATTTAAGGTGCCAAACGAATTTTCTTCATTTCATCTTCCAATGTACCAAGAGCGCCTTCATGCACGAATCAAAGTCTAGTACTAAATTCATTGCAACGTGACAACGTCAGCTCTTTAAAAAAAAATCATGATCATAGAATTAAAGGAAGTGTTCCCTCGGCAAATGTACAAACCCATAACATAGAATTTTAAATAAAAAATGATTGCAACATCAGTTAGATACTCGGATAGAGAAATATTACTCTATCATCAAGTGTAAATTTGATGTCCATGGTTCCCTAAAGCTATCGTCGAACTAAAGCTGTATATTAAAAGTTATATAGTGAGAGAATTCTTCGCTGCATTCATGTAGTGACTGTAAAGGTAGTTGTATACATCAAAGTTATAGAAAGCGCTAGGCGTCAACCCAAAGCCTAGCGCCTAGGCAGATTTCTTCTTTTGTTTAACTAAAGGTGTAAGTGTAAATTTGATGTCCCGGGTTCCCTAAAGCTATCGTCGAACTAAAACTGTATATTAGAAGTTATATAGTGAGAGAATTCTTTGCTGCATGCATGTAGTGACTGTACAGGTAGTTGTATACATCAATGTTATGGAAAGCGCTAGGCGGCAACTTGAAGCCTAGCGCCTAGACAGATTTCTTTTTTTTGTTTAACTAGAGGTGTAGTTGATATTGCAGAAGGTTGAAGGTGGACGTGTTCAAAGTCAATGGAGGAGGCCAGGAAGGTTGGAGGACCCAGAGGTGACAATAGAGGAATTCGGGCCATGGCCTGAACTTTGCAGTATGCATAACGTCCATGCACCCCCATGCACTATCAAAATATAGGCAAACGGCCTAATTACTGCTTAGGCTAGGCAGACGCACAGTATGTTTTTTAAACTATAGTATTCAATCATTAAAAACAAAGAACTCCTATTCATTAATGCAAGAATATAGTATGAATCATTATCCAAAAAAATAACATTGAAAGGACACAAATGATGAGGCCAATAAATGTTGTATTTCTAAAAAATTATAATCAATAATTTTTTTCACTAGAATAATTTTTTCCACTAGAATACCAATTTTTTTTCCTTCCATCAAAATAATCACAGATTCCACTTCTGACTAAAACTTTCAACCAAATCCTGATGGTGATGGTAGAAGCTCAGCTCAGTGAAGACAGAGGTCTAGTTTATGTTTATAATTCAAACTTACAAGTACAGGCAACTTAATGGCATATTAGCTTGAATCCAATTTCAGCGGATGATTATAAACTGCATATACCTTTTAAAAACATATAACATTTCTATTACATACAAAACAAAGAGAAGTCAGATTCACTACAATTTATTTCATTTACAGTGACCATATTGTATTTTCAATATCATACTGTGCATTCAGCATGCATTAGAATTCTACTGCTGGAATTACTAGTTCGCAGACCAAAACATCTATTTGGAACATAATAAGCTAATTTCAATATCTCTCAGAAAAGCTAAGAAGAACAATCCGGTTCTCTAACAGTTTTAACAGCAAAAAAGACTCCCCGAAATGCAAAAGAGAATCCATTCCGTACGCAAGGCATACGTCATGAGCTTGTATTTCACCAGAATTATACGGGAAAAAACATCTCTTTTCAGTGAATAGCATAAAAAAAAGAGATCTTTCCCCGAACCCAGAATATGTGAAAACCCAATTGCGAATTCGAAAAACAAAATTAGTTCTTTATCGAGTCTAATACCCGCAGGGCTAAATAGCTCTAAACTAAAGACCATTCCAGGCATTCAAACTTGAGACAAACACCGAAAAGTGTTAAAATGATGTAAAATGAATTCAGAAAACTCACCATCCATCGGATTGCTATAATTAACATAAGCGTAACCAAGCGATCGCCGAGTCGTGATATCCCTACAAACCCTAACCGAGACAACCTGCCCAATTTGGCTAAACATATCGTACAACTGCGCATCCGTCACGTTCGGCTCAAGATCCCCAACATACAGAGACGTGGAAGGGAACTGGTTCCCTCCATCGACGCCGGCGTGGCCGCCTGAGTCCCGCTCGCGCCCGATCTGCTTCTGCGCCTTGCTGCGGTGCCTGAAGCTTGCCAATTTCGCTTTTCCGATTTTATTTTTTGATTTTTATCTAGGTTGGGATATAGATGGAAGAAAGAACAGTAAACGAAAATCAAACAAGCAAGAACCTTCCTCCTTTTTATATGATTATTTTTATTTCTTTGAATAGATAAGAAAGATAACTTGATATACGGAGATCTGAGAGAGGAGGCTCCTGAATTTTTGATTTTTCTAGGTTTTTTCAGATTTTTGGAGTCGAATTTTTTGCGCTGAGGATTTTCTTTTATTTTATTATTCGGGGTAGATCGTGGGGAGGAGGGGGAGAGACGAGAGAGGACGAAGAGACGGAGAAAGTCTGGCGAGGCAGTCCCGAACTGCCACCGCGCCGCTCATCTGGTCGGAGACGTCGTGGTTATATACGCATCGCCGAGACGGAAGCCCTAACGGAATTTGACGGGACGATCTCGGCCGTTGGATTTGGAGGGATCGGGGACGTGTGGGCCGTACGATTACGCGGCTGGCGGTTGCGTCATCGGGCGGTAAAGGGAGGCGACACGTGCGCGTGCACACGTGCGCTTCTTGGGCCTAAGTCCTTGAGATGCAGCCAATCGCAATGGGTGGCGGGCCTCGTCGGGCCCAAATATGGGATTATAGGCTTATAGCCCCATATACCCTGCCAAAAAAATGGAAGAAAAACTGTATTTGTACAATCGCCTCCCTCTTCGCTAATAGCATGTTGGGATGGAGGATAAATACGATAAGGGGAAGTGAATAGTGTGCATCCGGTGCAAAGCACGAGCCCCTATTTTTCATTTCTGCTACCGTAATTCTTTTTTAAATGCTACGGTAATTTTTAAATTCTACAACGCTTTTTAAATCGCTACGGTATTCTGTTTTTTTTTTCCTACAGTAATTGATGCGGCATGAATAGTAAATCATTGGGTCCTCCTGTAAGTGCAGAGGAGTAGACTAGTGTACACCCCGTGCAAATGCATGACCTCCTCTTTTTATTTCTGCTACAGCAATTCTTTTTCAAATGCTACAACAACTTTTTCTAGAATTTTCTAGGGTTTTTAGCGGACAGGAAATACGGTCGAAATACTACTGGGTTTTCTCATCATAAGGCGTCGACGAGAAGGAAAGACAATGCGGAGCGACTCAAGTATTGCGATGGAACTCTAATTACTAATTAATGAGGCTGATTACTACTAGAGAGGTGCTTAATTAGTCCAAAGCGTCCAATTCTATGAACGAACGGCTAACTCAAGAGATTAGGTCACGAGTAAATAAAGAAGGCAGCCTTTGATATATGCATCCAACAAAGCCGCGGGACCGGACAGCACGTCGGCATTATTCTATTAAAAGCACTGGCAAGTTGTTGAGGGAGGGTGATGTTTGTAATTTGTAAAGGAAGAAATTTTCAAATTCGTCTCAGCAGAATTTTTTTTAAAGAAATTGACCCCATTCACTTTTAATTATAAAAATCGACCTATTTTGAGTTAATTACGATACTAATTAGTCGGGGTTGCTAACCCCGACTAATTAGTAGCCTAATTACAAGTGGGGTCAAGGAGCGGAAAAGGTTTGCGGCTCCTAAATAACACCGTAATTAACTCAAAGTGGGTCGATTTCTATAATTAAAAGTGAATTGGGTCGATTTCTTCATTTGTA